GTATTACCAGATCATAGGGTACTTCTATTTTTAATTTTTTAGGAGCCATCCCTACTGTTTTCCATAGCAGCTGTACCATTTTACATTTCTACCAACAGTGTCCAACGGTTCCAATTTCTCCACATCCTCTCCAACATTTGTTATTTTCTATTTTGTTTTATTAATAACCATCCCAGTGGGTGTGGGATGTATCTCATGGTGGTTTGATTTGCATTTCCCTGATGACTAGTGATGTTCAGCATATTTCCATGTGCTATTGGTCATTTGTGTATCTTCTTTAGAAAAAAGTCTGTTCAAGCGATGATTCCTAATTGAGAGCGACAGCCCCTTGTCATGTATCCAATTGCTCCATAAGCTTGTAGTGTCTCCTTTTGTGGGATAACCCAAAATGCCTACACCCCTTTCCAGCACACACCTCTTGCCTGGGAAGACGGACTTGCAGAATATCACCGAGGTTAGGAACTGCGACTAAAAGAACTTTTTTTTTTTTTTTTTTTTTTGAGACACAGTATCACTCTGTCACCCAGGCTGGAGTGCAACGGCACGATCTCGGCTCACTGCAGCCTCCGCCTCCCAGGTTCAAGTGATTCTCCCTCCTCAGCCTCCCGAGTAACTGGGGTTACAGGTGTGCACCACCACGCCCGGCTAGTTTTTGTATTTTTAGTAGAGATGAGTTTTGCCATGTTGCCCAGGCTGGTCTTGAACTCCTCACCTCAAGTGATCCAGTCACCTTGGCCTCCCAAAGTGCTGGGATTACAAGTGTAAGCCACCGCACCTGGCCCTAAAAGAACATTTTTAAAAAGAAACACCCACTCCACTGGCTACCCCCTGCATGCACATAATGAAGGCAGTGAATGTCTCATGAATGCAACCTCCATCACACCCGCTTAGGGCTGCTCTTTAACAGTAATAGACAAGAACGTTCATTCCTACAAAGTTCACATGATGTAGGGGCTTGTTGCTGAGTGCTTTATGCGAATTGTCTGAGTCTTCACAACACCTTTTGAGATAGACACCGCTTTGAGAGTGAATTTTGCATAAGTTTATTGATGGTAATTAACTTGGAATCCAAAATGCATTCTACCTTGAAATAAATCAAATAATTCTAAACCTAGGATTTCCCCTTACTCTAAAAATTTAATTAACAAGGTGCAGAAGAGTTTGAGGTATACACCAACTGACTAATGTAGGGCCACAGAAAGCAAATTAACAGATGTTTTTTCTGAATTCACAGCTTAAGTTCTACCTCTTACCTGGGTAAAATGTCAGGGACTCGTCTGAAGTCCTGAAGTGTGAGGATTAGTTAGAATAAAAGGTCTACTAAGAAATTTAAAGGTAATGCATTCAGTCAGGGCAGATTCCAGATGGACAAACCAGAGAACTTTCCAACGAAGATTTGATGGGTTCAGCCATTCCTATGATCTCAGTAAGGAATTTTCACTAGATTATCAGGATGTTGATGGAAGATTAAATAAGTCTTCCCCCTCCGCCCCTTGAGATGGAGTCTCACTCTGTCGCCCGGGCTAGATCTCAGCTCACTGCAACCTCTGCCTCCTGGGTTCAAGCGATTCTCCTGCCTCAGCCTCCTGAGTAGGTGGGATTACAGGCACCAGCCACCACGCCTGGCTAATTTTTGTGTTTTTAATAGAGACGGGGTTTCACCATGTTGGTCAGGCTGGTCTTGAACTCCTGACCTCGTGATCTGCCCACCTCGGCCTCCCAAAGTGCTGAGACTACAGACATGAGCCACCGCCCCCAGCCAATTCTTTTTAAAAATAAATAAATAAATAAATAAATAAATAAATAAATAAATGTAAAGCCCAGAGTGTCCTGAATTTTCTAAAAGTTTTATTATTATTATTATACTTTAAGTTCCGGGATACATATGCAGAATGTGCAGGTTTGTTACATAGGTATACAAGTGCCATGATGGTTTGCTGCACCCATCAACCCGAGAGATAGATGTTGCTTTTTATCCCTGTTTTCCCAGTGATGAAGATGAGATCACATACCTAATGAATGGCCAGGCTATGGTGCACCCTGGAGGGAGGCTCTCCTCGTACACTTCTCTGTGACGTGTTCAATGGATGGATTCAAAGGAGTCTAGGGAGCTACCGCTGCCTGGATTTTAAAATTTAATTAAGCTCAGGCCTTGGGGATTGCAAAAGCCCATTAAACCTTAACACACACACACACACACACACACACACACAAGTTGGAATGGTATCAGCCATCACTTTCCTTCTGGAAGTACCTCAACACATTCACTGCACAGAATAGTTCCACCAAGTACAAATGTTCAGAATAACAGAGGGCCTGGTAATGATCAAATTCAGTTCTGTGAAAAGACCTCATTTCGGGACGGTTGCTGAGCCAGGACTTACACTGGGCTCAAACCCAGCACACTCAGAGGACAGCATTTTGGGGTTTTGCTGAATGGAGGAAAAAGATACCAAATGCAGTTCCAGACACCTTCAAATTCTTTCTTCTAAGACCCCATTTTCTCATTATAAAGTGGAAATAATAATACTAACCTTACATACAGGTTGTAAGAGTATTTGGTGTTTTTTTTTAAATGAATGTGAAAGCGCTTTGAAACCAAGTTAAGAAACGAAAGGTGAGCGGTCTCCACCAGGTGGCAGCCTTGGGCAGCGAAGTAAATGAATGGCAAGGCTGAACCCACGAAATCATTCTCGAGCAGGGCAAGTAAAAAATTGTCCCGGGCCCACGCCTGTAATCCCAGCACTTTGGGAGGCCGAGGCGGGCGCATCACGAGGTCAGGAGTTCGAGACCAGCCTGACCAACATGGTGAAACGCCATCTCTACTAAAAGTACAAAAATTAGCCAGGCGTGGTGGCAGGCGCCTGTAATCCCAGCTACTCAGGAGGCTCAGTCAGGAGAATTGCTTGAGCGAACCCGGGAGGCTGAGGTTGCAGTAAGCTGAGATTGCACCATTGCACTCCAGCCTGGGTGACAGAGCGAGACTCCGTCTCAAAAAAAAAAAAAAAAAAAAAATTAATTGACCCAAAGCCTACTTGGGCAGATGCTTGGGGAAAGGGAGAGCAGTTGTTCAGTACTGTCTTGTCCCAAATGCTGAGCTGGCACTGAAGGCTTCTGAACATCGTGTACGCCTAGGACTTTGCGATTCAGGGAAAATTAAAAAGAATAAATTTCAGAACTGAATACTACAGGTGCCCTGAGTGGAGGTGACGACACCTTTGCAGCCAGCCACATTTAGGATCAAGGTCCCGACAGCATCAGCCCACATGCTGAATGTCACCCCAGAACCCAGCTCTCTCTTCTCGAAATCTTTCCTTGGGCTTGGGCACATAAATGACCACAAATGACCAAGAGACAGCTTCTTTCAAATTGATATAGGAGACCAAGTTGCATCCCAAGGCCCCTGTCTCCTTCCCGTGAGCAAGAATAATCTTCTCATTTGTATAAAATGCCATTTAAATTTTATTTTTAAATTTCTTTTATATAGTATGATATTTGAGCCTCAGCATCTCTGCGTGAGATGGAGCAAGAATCAATAGCTTTCCAGAGGAGGAAGTAGGGAGAGAGAGTCTAAGTGACTCAGAGACGAAGGACTGGGGGATGGCTGGATAGCCTGTGTAACCTGTGTCAATGTAAAGATCATGATAGGCACTGCTGAGTGATTGAGAGTTCAGATTTTGCTGTCAGGCAGACCCAGGATCTTTTCCCAGCCTTGCCCCTTGGTAAAAGGAATAAATGTGGGCACCTCCTGTAACGTCTCCAAGCTTCCCTTTCCTCTCTAATTGAGTAAGGATGTTATAAGGTCTAACCACAACCTTCTTGGGAAGATTCAGTGAGATAAAGCATGCAAAGTTCTTAGTCTCATGCCAGGCATGTGATTAGCTAGTTGGATTTAGACCCGAGGTTTTTTTCTCTTGGCTGTGATTCTCTTTGTGCCACCCACACAGCCCCCTGGTGCTTTGGGGGCCTTGAAGAGCCCAGAGGGTGGTGTTAGACCCAGATAACCCATCCTGATGCTGATACACAGATGCCTGGGTTTATCCAGCGTGGTTTTAATATCTGCTCCCTCCCTGTCTCTTGGGGAATGGTTCCTACCATATATTAAAATCTAAGTTGTCAAGGTAAAATAAGCTGCTTATTTTGCTTTTTCAAAGTTCAATTTCATTCACTTTTTTTTTTTTTTTTTTTTTTGAGACAGAGTCTTGCTCTGTCGCTCAGGCTGGAGTGCAGTGGTGCAATCTCGACTCATTGCAAGCTCTGCCTCCCAGGTTCATGCCATTCTCCTGCTTCAGCCTCCCCAGTAGCTGGGACTACAGACACCCACCACCACGCCCGGCTAATTTTTTGTATTTTTAGTGGAGACGGGGTTTCACCGTGTTAGCCAGGATGGTCTCCATCTCCTGACCTCGTGATCCGCCCGCCTCGGCCTCCCTAAGCACTGGGATTACAGGTGTGAGCCACGGCACCCAGCCAATTTCATTCACTTTTTAAAATAGTAATATTGGTTTCTATCAAAGTAATATATGACATCATTTAAAACTCAAACAGTTCCACAAGGCTTGTTATGACAAACAGCCTCCTCCCCGCAACTCCTGCCACTTGCAACAGTTTTAGCTGTTTCTTCTAGTATTTGCCTCCATATAGCTAAATAATTGACACAGGGTATTATTCCTAGATTGATTCATTTTATTGAATTCCTGTTAAGATGGATGGAGATGGCCAGGCACAGTGGCTCACGCCTGTAAAATACCAGCACTTTGGGAGGCTGAGGTGGGGGGATCACTTGATCTTAGGAGCTTGAGACCAGCCTGGGCAACATAGTGAGATTCCATGTCTACAAAAAACACAAAAACTAGTCGGGTGTGGTGGCACATGCCTGTAGTCCCAGCTTCTCTGGAGGCTGAGGTGGGAGGATCATCTGAGCCCCAAAGGTAGAGGTTGCAGTGAATCTAAGAGCCCAGATCACACTACTGCACTCCAGCCTGGTGGATAGAGCGAGACTTTGTCTAAAAAAAAAAAAAAAAAGGATGTAGATTTAGATTATAACCACCCACATTTTATTTCCTTTTCTATTTTCTCAATGTGGTGATAGCACAATTCTGGCTTAAAGCGAGAGTCATCAGCCTGATATTATCGTGACTAATCCAAGTAGTATCCTGTGGTTGCAGCTCCTTTTTTAGACAACCCATTGTTTTACCCAAAGGGAATACTTGCCTTGCTTTCACTTGTTTAGTTTCTATATACCCTTCACTTTTCTCCAAAAGTTCCTACAGATTCCCAGATGTCTACCAATATTAATTTCCAGCGACATCGGGTAGTTCTCATTCCTCTTTGGTTTGATTTTGGTTGCTGTGGTAGCTGCTACTGCTGTTGTTTTTCCAGGACCTCTCTCTTACGCTCCTCTATCCTCCTGCTCCAGCCTGGACTTGGTCTCATGCAGAGTCTCAACCCGGGATGCCTCATCCCCATCAGGGTCTTTCCTTCTCCCTCGCTGTGTATTGGGTCCTCTGTTTCGTGGATCCGGAGACTTCCTATTTTTTGTTTTACACCACTGTTTCACTGGAGAACATCCTGCAGTCAATCCAGAGAAAGCACACGCGGGAAGTAAAATGTTTGGATCCTGGCATATCTGAAAAAGTCTTTATTCTAGCTTCATATCTAATGAATAGTTTGACTGGATACAGAAATACACCAAAAATTTTTTCTCTCGGAATACCAAAGGCATTGCTCTGGAAAAGCCCACCATCCTATCCATTGTATGTGACACCCCCTTGGGCCCCCAACAATGGGATCCTTTGGGAACTCTTTTTTGCTCCTTTTGATCTAAAATTTCAGGATGGGTACCCTGATGTGGGTCTTTGTAAATCCATCGTACTCTGTGTTCAATGGGCACTTTTAGTCTGGAGATGCAACGTGCATTCTTTTTTAGTTGTGGGGTTCTTTTTGGATTGTTTCTTTGATATCTTCTCCCCTCTTGCCTGTGTCCTCTCTTTCCAGAATTCCTATTTATCAAGTGCTCATCGTGGCCTCCCGCTCTGATACCTTGTCTCTCCAGCTGTCTGTCTCTGTCTTTTTATTCTACTTTCTGGGAGGCTTTGTAGGGATTTACTTTAATCTCTTCTCTGGACTTTCTCACCTTTGCCATTATGGTTTTGTTTTTTGTTTGTTTGTTTTAATTTCTAAGAGTTTCTTTATATTATCTGATTTTTAAAATATTATGCTATTATTGTTTCAGGAACATAATATCCTCTCTTATCACTCTGATAATATTAGTTATCACTATTATTCTGTGTTTCCTTCCAGCTCTTTTTTTCCAGTTTATTTGTATTGGTCTCTCTTTCCTGTACGAGGCTTCCTCAGTTGTCTGCTGGCCCTGGTCTGTCGCTTCACACTTGGAAACTAAGCAGATGCTCCATTTCAGGGTGGAATGGTCCCCCAGTGGGTGTCCCTGTGACGTGCTCCCATCGCAAGCTGGTTCTTTCCCTGGGGAACCCTGAATATCAGTGTCTTGGTATCTGGACGTCTTTCCTCTCTGGCTCTCCATTCTCTCCAGAGAAAAGCTTCCCTTCCTGCCTGGGACATGTCCTCCCACATCCAGGGATCTGGAGGGAACAGTCTCCATACTAGGTATAGAATTCTGTGTAATTCCTGCACTTCCGGTCCACTTCATCCCTGCTTCCTGTTCTTCTTCAGAGAACGAACCTCTCATCTCTAATAGCAGAAAGGTGAGGAAAGGTGTTTGGCTTTGTTTTGCTATTTTTCCCAGATTGTGAACACTGCCTTCCTACCTTCCGCTCTCTTTCCCAGCAGGCAGGAGGCAGGGCCACAGCAGATGCCCCTCTCACTTTCTCTTCCCTTCCGCCCCTCTACTTTATACAATAGAGCAGGAAAACGTAGTCATCATCTATCCAAGTTGCAGAAAATTAAAATATGGATATGAGACAGCGGGGCTGTCATTGTGTGCTTCAGGTGGAGTGGGAAGAAGTGTGGAATGAGATTCCCACATGGTCCAACAGTGTTTCTGATGTGCTTGAACTCACTAAGGAGACAGGTGGGTGATAGAGAGGACATTGGCCAGGGCGTGGATACATCTCATTTAGAAATGTGTGTCCCGTTCCATGGGAAACTCCCACAGGAAGCCTACCTGGAATGGTGTATGTTCCCTGGAAAGAGACCGATGAGACGGCACAGCTGTCCCTCCAAGCCTTTTCCATCTGCTCCTCTCCCTCTTCCGGTGTGGCTTCCAACAGCCAACTGAAGGGGTTCATCCATCAGCCCCTGCAGGAGGCAGCGGACTTATCCCACGAGACAGGAGCGAGGCAAGGATGTGGACCCTCAGCTCTTCCCGCACCTTCAGGCTGGATTGAATCCTGCCTATCCTGGGTTCTGCACTGACAGAAGAAAATTATCCACCATCAAAAATGAGTCATCACAGTGATGTCTGAAAGCTTTGCAAACAGAGGTCATGAAATGACAGAGTCTGTTTAGTTTTTTATCAGAAAGATTTCCACAAATGATACATCTTACAGTTATAAGAGAAATCAAGAAATCACCAGCTCCCTGTCTTCTCCACATGCAAACCTTCAGAGAGAAAAGAAAATTGGCACTCACATTGAAAGACCTTTCCATTCACTTCCTCAGAGAAGTACTTTGATAGTTCCTTGACTGAGGTTAGGTGGCATGTGTGGCTGTCAGAATGACTGGATGCACCGTCAGTGTCATCCGAAAGGCCACCAGATGGCTAACTAGGAGAAAGGAGGGCTGTATTGGCAGCACCAGTTTGCAAACTGAGAAGACGAAGTCTCCAGCGTGGACTGAAGGTGCTCTTTTTGAAGAGGGGCAGCGCAGGTTGGATTTTATGCCTCATGGTGTTCGTATTACATAATAGAGTCCTACACACTCAGCAGATTTGGGGAAAAGATACGCATAGTTATGAAGGAGTGTCGAGTGTGTGTGCCGCAGGTAGACATATAGGTGACATATGTCCCATGTTCACTTTAGGATGGGGTTTTTGTCTTGGTTTTTTAAATTTTTAATTTTTGTGGGTACATAGTAGGTATATATATTTATGGGGTACATGAGATATTTTGATACAGGCATGCAATGTGTAATAACTACATCAGGGCAAATGGGGTATCCACCCCCTCAAGCATTTATCCTTTGTGTTATAAACAATCCACTTCTACTCTTTTACTTATATGAAAATGTACAATTCAATCATTATTGACTACAGTTTCCCTGTTGAGCTATCAAATACTAGGTCTTATTCATTCTTTCTATTTTTTTGAACCCATTAACCATCCCCGTCTCCCCCACTCCTCCCACCCTTCCCAGCCTCTGGTAACCACCCTTCTGTTCTCTGTCTCTATGAGTTTGATGGTTTTCATTTTTAGCTTCCACAATTAAGTGAGAAAACACGAACTTTGTCTTTCTGTGCCTGGCCTATTTTACTTAACATCATGACCTCTGGTTCCTTCCTGGGGTGGCTTTTAGCACTAAAATGAGGTGGAATTTGAGGCTGTTTACCTCACAAGGTCAACTATAGGACACAAAGGCAGTTTGTGTGCAGCCTCTGTGAACTGCTGAAATTAGCCTAAAGTCTGCAGTAGTTCCTCAGAAGAGAATGTTTGTAAGGCTGGCCCCCTGTCCAGGCAGAGTTGTAATGGTCTGGGTCGTAAACCAGAGTTGACAGCTCCTATTGGTAGAGAGTTTAGCCACAGAAACTGAGAAATTTGCTAGGCCAGCTTGTCCTGAACCCTCGACCTGTAGGTAACTTAACCTTAGCGTCTACTCTAGTTGATAAAGGGGCATCTATTCTGGTCTCTAAGATCACATCAGGAATCTAATATTTCACCTGTATAACTTTGCCCTGGCCCGAAGGGATTGGCTATGAACTATTTATTTATTTGTTTATGAGGCAGAGTCTCGCTCTGTCGCCCAGGCTGGAGTGCAGTGACGCAATCTCAGCTCACTGCAACCTCCGCCTCCCAGGTTCAAGCAATTCTCTTGCCTCAGCCTCCCAAGTAGCTGGGACTACTACAGGCGTGCGCCACCATGCCCAGCTAATTTGTTTTTTTCGTGTGTTTTGTTTTATTTTGCTTCCAAGTGAAACAGGGTCTCACCATGTTGCCCAGGCTGGTCTTAAACTCCTGGGCTCCAGTGATCCTCCTTCCTTGGCCTCCTAAAGTGCTTAGATTACAGATGTGAGTCACCACATCCAGCTGGCAATGCACTCTTTAGGGACATTCATCACATTTCAATTATGCTTTGTCTAAAAGCACTAACCTTCCCCAGCAGTGATAACCAAAGAAACAGGACTGTGGTTGTCATCTGGAGATGGGCTGAAATATGCTTCTTTAGGCTGGAGGAGAAGTTGGTACCAGCATTTTTCTGAGTGGATTTTTAAGCTCATCTTCCATGGCCTATCACTGTTCTAGGCACATAGCCGATGCTCAGAAAATTATTTTTTTATTGGTTAATTTCCAATCCCAGGGAGCAAGGATTTGCATATTTCCTGAGAAATCACTGAATATTGTTGCCTGCATTGCACTGAGAACAAATCATGACATAAAGGAAAAGGTTTAAAATATCTGCTTTATGGGTGCTCTTGGGAGGGTGCAAGTCTTATTCAAATGAGTCTAGGAGCCTCTGTGTGGTGGCTCATACCTATAATCCCAGAACTTTGGGAGGCCAAGAGTTTGAGATCAGCCTGGGAAACACAGCAAGACCACAACTCTACAAAAAAGATGTATTTAATTAGCCAAGCATGGTGGCACACACTTGTATTCCCAACTACTTGGGAAGCTGAGATGGGAGTATCACTTGAGCCCATGAGTTCGAGGCTGAAGTGAGCCAGGATCACATTAGGGCACTCCAGCCTGGATGACAGAGACCTCTTCTCTTTAAAAAAAAAAAAAAAAAAAAAGTAGTTTAGGTAATCATCCTTGGGCCACATTTGCAGTTTAGGTCTTAATGCTCTCTCTCTTGTTGATATTGAAATAAATGGTCTTTTATTCAATATCTTCAACGTGCGTTGCTAATGATCAGATGACATCATCTCATCTGTAGGTGGGAGAACCAAGCCAAAGCCCAGAATCACCTTCTACAGGACAACATAAATATCAGCCTCAGACTTACAGAGCTCTCATCCTTACCTCTTAGTTTCATTGATGCAGGTTTAGAGCGCGCCCTTGTAGGACAGAGGGGGAATGAGAGAAGGATAGACAGGTACCTTCTTTTTCAACTTTCAAGAAACAAACTTACATGGATCTGTCATCTTGGCTATGCCCATGACCTCTAAAAGAATGATTACAGGCCAGGTGTAGTAGCTCACACCTGTAATCCCAACACTTTGGGAGGCCAAGGCAGGAGGATCACTTGAGCCCAGGAGTTGAAGACCAGCCTGAGAAACATAGTGAGACCCCCATCTCTACAAAAAAAAAAAAATTAAAATTAGCTAAGCATGGTGGTGTGTGCCTGTGGTCCCAGCTACCCAGGAGGCTGAGGTAGGAGGATCACTTAAGCCCAGGAGTTCAAGGCTGCAGTGAACTATAATGGTGCCACTGCACTCCATCCTGGGCAACAGAGCAAGACCCTGTCTCGACAAAAATAAATAAGTAAAAGTAAAAATTTTTTAAAATAGAACTTAATAAAGAGTGATTCCTTGAGATCCTGACATGGGCTGTCTGCTGTGGGGTGGACAGCGTGAGAAATCCCAGTGCGGCAGAATTAGGGCTGTGGCTAAGCACGAGTGGCATTCACCTCTTGGATCATTAGACAAACATGAAGTGACTTGATGCTGAAAAACTGGCAGAGGGCTAATAATGAGCAATTGTGCAAGATCGCATCAGCCTCATCCTGCACCACAGCCCCTGTTTGCCCCGGGGGCAACTTTGCGTAGTCATGATGAGTTGTGCAATGAGGCATAGAGCCACAAGAAGAGAGAAAGTTGGGCTAAATATGGGCATTGTGTCCCACTTTAATGATAGACGGTGTATTAGTCAGAGGAACAGAACCAATAGGATATATATAGATATACAGATATCAGAAGGAGACTTCTTATGAGGAGTTGGCTCACAAGATCATGGGGGCTGAGAAATCCCACAGTCTGCTGTCTGCAAGCTGGAGACCCAGGAAAGCCAGTGGTGTCAGTCCACTGGCTGAGTCCAAAGACCTGAGAACCAGGGAGCCAGTGGTATAAGTCCCAGTCCAAGGACAAGAGAAGATGAAATGTGATGTCCCAGCTCAAAAAGCAAGGGACAGAAAGAAAGAAAAATGAAAAAAGGGGCGAGCTCCTCCATCCTCCATCTTTTGATCTGTTCAAACCTTCCAGGATTGGGTGATGTCCACCCTCACTGTGAAGGGTGGTCTATTGAGTCCACTGATTCAAATGCTGATCTCATCCAGAAACACCCTCATAGACACATCCAGAAACTGTTTAATCTGTGCGACTCGGGGCTGGATGCAGTGGCTCACGCCTATAATCCCAGCATTTTGGGAGGCTGAGATGGGTGGATCACTTGAGCCCAGGAGTTCGAGACCACCCTGGGCAACATGGTGAAACCCTATCTCTACTAAAAATACAAAAAGCTAGCCGGTTGTGGTGATGGGCACCTGTAATCCCAGCTACTCAGGAAGCTGAGGCACGAGAATCACTCGAACCTAGGAGGCAGAGGTTGCAGTCAGCTGAGATGGTGTCACCGCACTCTAGCCTGGGTGACACAGCAAGACCCTGTCTCAAAAATCAGTAAATAATGGGTAACCCTTGGCCTGTCAAGTTGACACATAAAATACACCACAGACATGGTGACCAGTATACATACACACACACACACACACACACACACACACACACACACACTACCCATCTCTTTTAAAACAAAATCTTAGTAAAGATTCCTATAAATGCTAAGATATACTAAAGAACAAAGACAAAACTGTGGAGTTCAGATTATCTATAGATACTCATCAGCAGAAATAAATAATATAGACCTAATAATTGTAGTGTGTTTTATCGTTTCCAAGTCACTTCTCCATTTATGCCACACCAAACCCAGTAAAATAATTGGAAAGGAAATTGTTATCCCCATTTTACTGATAAGGAAAATCAAACTGAAGGTCAGGTGGTTCAGTCCATGTCCCCACGGCATTGGGGGGTTAAGACCAGAATATGGGACTTTCAGGGGATAGTAGAAATAATCTTAAGGAGAATGGCTTATCTATCATCTTTAGATGTTTTGTGGGTAAGAATAAACGTGGTGATAACTGGTGAGAATTCGTTAGGAAAACCCTTGGTGGCTTTCCTAACCCTAGAAGTGGTTCTGAGTGGACTTTGCAAAGATTTTCCTTGACAAAATCTTCTTGACCTACCATATGGTTGTCAATTACATTTTCTCATGGAATTATCTCATTTGTCTTACATCAGAGTTGGAATTCCTGCAATTCCGGACCATGGTGGGCTGCTTTGCATTAAGATTCTTGGTTAAGCGTAAAGACCACCACCCAGTCCCCCCGAGCAAAGAGGCCCTCCGGCTCTCAGGACACTTGGAGAACATCCGTAACACCTGCCATTTGGGGTTCCCACATGGCCACTTATTAGAAACACTTGGAGGCCCTCAGAGGGAACTCTTTCTGAGAATATTGTTAGCCATGGTGCTGCTGATAAATGACCTCAGACCTCTTCCTTCGGCAGTTCAGTCACCTGGGATAAAACAACACAATGTGGGAGGAAGTGGGGCCGCCCTTCCCACCCCTACTCAGAGCACGTATGCACGTGCAAACACAGACACACACACACACACACACACACCCCTGCAGATGGTCACGGTTTGTCTTTCCATACCATTTCTCAAAAGATCAAAGGGAGCAGCATGCATTATTCAGTAGTAAGGAAAGCAGATGCCTAAAGTATACACCCAGTGGCCACAGTCACCAAAGGACCTTACATTCCCTCCTGCCAGCGTTGCCCCCCTGGGCTTCTCTAGTCTCAGAGTAAAGTTATTCCATGCCCACCAGACAGCCCAAGATTCCCAGGCAAGATTCCGGCTCAGTGAACGACCCTGCAGAATCCTCTCCTCCAATGGCTGCAAGAGCACTGGGGTCTTCACCACGGAGATGCGGATTGCATAAGCACAGAGGAATGTCACACCTCAGCCCCTGCATAAGGCAGATGGACGCCACCCTCAAGCCTCCTGGAAGTGTCTTCTGCTCCTCCTATGATCCCATCTTGTCCTTAGTTAAGGGGAACGCCCAGAATCCCAGGAAAAAATGGGATTTTTACACACTGTGTGCTCCCCGTCAGTGTAGTTCCTCTGCTTGAGCAGAAACCCATGAAAGAAGGCCGCCTCTGGCCAGGCGCGGTGGCTCACGCCTGTAATCCCAGCACTTTGGGAAGCCAAGGTGGGTGGATCACTTAAGGTCAGGAGTTTGAGACCAGCCTGGCCAACATGGTGAAACCCTGTTTCCACTAAAAATAAAAAAATTGGCCAGGCGTGGTGATGCACACCTGTAATCCTCGCTACTTGGGAGGCTGTGGCACAAGAATTGCTGGAACCCAGAAGGCGGAGGTTGCAGTGAGCCGAGATTGCACCACTGCACTCCAGTCTGGGTGACACAGTGAGATCCTATCTCAAAATAAATAAATAAATAAATGAAAAGCCACCTCTGGACCACTGTAAAAGTCAGATAGGGAAAAGGGAGAATCATTTTCTTAGTGTTATGTGGGAGCACATTTCTGCTAGGAAGACCCCTGGAAACATCTAATAACTCCTCTCTGTGGAACTTGGCTTTCAGAGTTGTTTTGTTTTGTTTTGTTTTTGAAATGGAGTCTCACTCTGTCACCAGGCTGGAGTGCAGTGGCGCTATCTTGGCTCACTGCAACCTCCACCTCCCGGGTTCAAGCGATTCTCCTGCCTCAGCCTCCCGAATAGCTGGGACTACAGGCATGCGCCACCACACCCAGCTAATTTTTGTATTTTTAGTAGAGACGGGGTTTCACCATGTTGGCCAGGATGGTCTCGATCTCTTGACCTAATGATCTGCCCGCCTCGGCCTCCCAAAGTGCTGGGATTACAGGCCTAAGCCACCGTGCCTGGCCGGCTTTCAGGTTTTGCAGTACCATGGGAAATTTTCAGAGTGAGCCAGAAGTCTAGAGCTCTGCCCCATTGCAGTAGAATCTTAAGGATAAAGCCACCTGGAAGGGTGAGGTGTACAAGGGGGAAAAGGCATCATGAACAAGTGACACTGGGGAATTGGGCAAAGACTGTCAGGATGTCTTCCCACCACCCTAGACTGGTTCTTACCCACACCCTTTCGGTCTTTGTGTTGAGTCCTCCGAGAACATCCAGTGAAATGATCCTTCAACTCAATGCATGTTAAACAGGCGAGGTCAGAAGTAATAATACGGCTCTTTCCATCAGATTGTGTAAGCATGTGCATTGCCGGGGGCGCTTGATTCTTGAATCATTTCCCCTCCCACTGGCCACATTTCAACTCTTCCTGTTTTTGGTATCTTCACTGGGAGATAGATGGTCAAGGTCAGACTTTTCACCCGAAAAGTCACCACAGTTAAAGGTGCCAGTTCTCACTTACCCCGAGAACAACTATGGTGAGAGAGAAGTTGAATCAATCAGGTTAGATATTCGATGGTGCATTTTTGGTAGCTTTCCTGTGGATAACAGTTACGTTACAGTTAATGTTCACCAGTGATACTCTCCTGGAACCACATACTGGGCTGTGTAAAATAGAATAAAAGACCTTCCTTCATTTTCCCCGCCTCCACGCAGGTATAGACATTTTCGTTTATCAGATGAATCAAACAGCAAACTGAAAGCTATGTTCGCACTTAAAAGTGTTATTTTCTGATGGTTGGTTTTGAGCTGCGCATCAGATAAGCCTCAGCAGATGTTAAATATTAGCCTGTAGTCGACCATTGGCTGTAACATAGGTGTAAATGTTTGACAGAAAAGCACACATACAACAGCACACTAACAAGTGCGCTCCAAGGCATTCAGGTGGGAATGGAAATGCACGTAGTGAGAGTAGAAACCATCTATTGTGGTAACCCTGGACAGTGTTTCTGTGAAGCCATTTGTACACTGTTAAATGATTTACATTCTGATGGGACCTGCTAATCCCAGAACTGCAATTCCAAACATTCTTCCACATCCCAGCACTGACAGCCTCTATCAATTCCAACCGCCAGAAAGCTCTTTCAGCTGGTTAAACGTAAGGAATTATTGTCCCCAGTTCTTCCATAGGCTCTCATGAGTTCTTTTAAGCCATACTTCTCAGGTGGTTCCAGGGCAAATATTAGTATCCAGCTTTGAAATTCCCAGGCCCAAAGGAGCCTGAATGATATCTCTCCTTCAAAAGTTCCAGGTGTGCCTGAATGCATTGTTTTAAATTGCAGGAGCCAATTCTGGACCTCTCAAAAAATAATTAGAAAATCCGTGAATCTCAAAAAATAATTAGAAAATCCATGAATCATGCCTGTAATCCCAGCACTTTGGGAGGCCGAGGTGGGTGGATCACCTGAGGTCAGAAGTTCGAGACCAGCCTGGCCAACATGGTGAAACCCCATCTCTACTAAAAATACAAAAAAATTAGCCAGGCATGGTGGTGTGTGCCTGTAGTCCCAGCTACTTGGGAGGCTGAGGCAGGAGAATTGCTGGAACCCGGGAGGCGGAGGTTGCAGTGAGCCAAGATCACACCATTGCACTCCAGCCCGGGCAACAACAATGAGACTGTGTCTCCAAAAAAAAACAAAAAACAAAAAACAAAATCCTTGAATCAGAGTCTGGCTTGTAATGCAAGTGAATAGAAACTCTTGCTAAGCGAACTCGCGTTATAAATGTTGTTCTGAGAATGTGTTGGCTGAAGCTGGGTTTCTATTGATTTTAGGAGAAATGTAAGTCCTAAGGGAGGTCACATACTGGACAAGTAGTTGGGGGTCTGTTCCCGGCCCCTTAAGTGCCATTAAGGCCCTGTGGGTTTCCAAAGTCCCTGAATGTTTTTGGATTCCATTCTCAGGGTCAGCTGGCTGGTCTCTAAATCTCTTTGACCTCTAGCTCTCTGTCATCCAGTCAGCCACTATGGGATCTAGTGATATTAGGGAAAGGAAAATAAAGATGGACATTTGTGCTTAAGCTTGACACCAGACATAGGATATCAATTAAATTGTGTATTATTCTCACATGCTGATGAACTCAAGGCTTCTCTTTGTCTTTAACATGTGAGCTATGTATAATGAGACAGTGCTGTGCACTAAGAAGTTTATTAATGTAGGTCATGTTTTCATGTTTAGTGGGTTTGTTGTTTTGTTTGTTTGTTTGTTTGAGGCAGGGTCTCTCTGTCAGCAGGCTGGAGTGTAGTAGCATGATTATGACCCACTGTAGCCTCAACCTTTCCAGGCTCAGGTGACCCTCCCACCCAAGTAGCTGGGACTACAGGCATGCACCACCATTCCAGGCTAATTTTTGTATTTTTACTAGAGGTGGGGTTTTGCCATGTTGGCCAGGCTGGTCTCGAACTCCTGGGTTCAAGTGATCCATCCACCTCAGCCTCCCAAAGTGCTGGGATTATAGGCGTGAGCCACCATGCCAGGCTAAGTGTTTGTACCATACACGCACACACACACACACACACAGACACACGGAAATCTTTGGATATGATAGATATGTTTATTACCTTGATTGTGGTAATGGTGTCATGGGTGTATGCATCTGTCCAAACTCATAAAATTGTTTACATTAAACATGCAGTTTTTGAGGTGTTTTAGTTATACTTCAATAAAGCTGTTTTGGCTGGGTATGGGGGATCACACCTGTAATCATCCCAACACTTTGGGAGGCCAAGGCAGGCACATCATCTGATGCCAGGAGTTCCAGATCAGCCTGGCCAACCTGGTGAAACCCCATCTCTATAAATACAAAAAAATTAGCCAGGTGTGGTGGTGCATGCCTGTAGTCCCAGCTACTCAGGAGGCTGAGGCAGGAGAATCACTTGTACCCGGGAGGTAGAGGTTGCACTGAGCCAAGATTGCACCACTGTACTCCCTCTTGGGTGACACAGCGAGACTCTGTCTCAAAAAAAAAAAAAAAGAAAAAGGCTGTTTTAAAAAATATGAACTATATACATTTTGAAATATAAATTTCAAAAATATAAAGAGAGAGAGAGAAAAGGAATTTTTTCAAAAACCAACGAGAAGTTTAAGTGCTTTGAAGACCAAGTCCCTAGATCACAATTAAGTATTTGGGGGAAGAACTACTAGGCGGAAACATTGTGAAACTTACACTCTGTAACAGCGCTGACCGATAGAGCTTTCTACAGTGGTTGAAATGTTCTGTATCTGAGCTGACAACACGGTAGTCACTAGCGACATGAACTGTAGAGCACATGAAAGAAATGTGGCTAGTACAACTGAGGAACTATATTTCTACCTTGTATTTAATTTTAAGGAGTCACAATCCCACTGTAACACTCCTTTCAAACAAAGCCTTTCAATAAAGCCTTTCTTTCAATAAAGTTCTGAGTTTAGTTTATACAGAAAATGCGTTTTGTTGTCAAGCATCTCTATTCCGGTGATTAATAACATTAACAAACAGGTTTGTAAAATGCTGGGGCCTAGTCCACCTCTTAATTTCTTGAAAGATTTAAAGATGAGGCCTTTGAGATAATCTGGTAGGCCCGGGCCCCCTAGTCCATCCCAGCTAAGAGCAGCAAAAAGGATGTTGGGAGTGTTTAGGACTGAACAATTCAGGGCAGTGGTCTCAGAGACTCAAGACGTTCTATGAATATGGGAGATTCTGAGCAAATCTTCAGAAAAGGAAGCTTTTTTTTTTTTTTTTTTTTTTTTTTTTTTTTTTTTTAGCTGGGGTCTCACCCCATTACCCAGGCTGGAGTGCAGTGGTGCTATCACAGCTCACTACAACCTCAACCTCCCAGGCTAAGAGATCCTCCTACCTCAGCCTCCAAAACACCTGAGTCTATAGACGTGCACCACCCTGCCTGGCTAATTTTTTAATTTTCTGTAGAGATGGGATCTCATTATGTTGCCCAGGCTGGTCTCAAACTCCTGGGCTGAGTAATCCTCCCAAAGAAGAGCTGTCATTTTTAAAAAAAAGAAAAAAGTGGTTGTTAAATACCAAACTTGTCTTCCTTTGTTGCTTTTTCCTTTCAGGAGCTTATTGACGTTGACAGTGAAGTGGTGTTTGAATTAGCTTCCTATATTTTACAGGTAAGTTGTTTTTCTCCTCCTCTTTATGTCCCAGGGCCATACACAGAAGAAAGGAAATAAGACTGACCAGGCATAGCCAGTAGCTGTGTCCACTCACTATTTGTCATCTTACCTTTTTTAGCCATAAGCTGCATAGAGCTATTAGAGACACTGATGGAAACTATAGCAATAAACAGGGGCTTGTAGTATTTCAAAATGTTAAGACAGCAAATCCCTGTAAAGCAAAGTTGTGTGTTTAACCTGAGCCTGGGAGAAACTGAGGTCATTTACTGACCCCATTTTCTTTGGGTTTGGTACTTTCACCCTGGAGAAAGCCAAGTGAATAGCTAGAGTTAGTGGCCAAAAAAAATCATGTTCTGCCCCCTGGAAAGACAAGGAAAAGCCCTTTAGGTTATGCAAAAAAAAAAAAAAAAAAGTGTTATAGAATATTAGCTTAATAGTGGCAAGATGAGTTAAAATGATATCATTTCTTTATTCCTTCAATAAGTATTTATTGAGCAACTACTATGTTTAAGGCATTATACTGGATTCACTAAAGTTTCCCTGGTCCCTGCCTCCAGAGTCTTCAGTATAATTGGGGACTAGCATAAAATACAAACCAAAACAAAAAGTGACCCTAGAAATAGACAGTTCTATCCAGATACATGTTCATATTTAGAATCTTTAAACTAGAACATGTCAGACCCGGGCTTTGAGATGGAGATGTACATTTTGTCATTATCAATCACTTTCTTTGTCTATAACTTTCTAGAGTTTAATTTCATGTCTCATATTCAAATAGCAAAGGTATGCATTCTGTTTTAATTGTATTCCTGCAGCAAATAGGATAACTGCAGGAAGCTGAACTCATCTCATTCAGTAGAGAAACTCTCATGATTGTAGAATGTACTTTAGAGTCTCTAACACTGGCTTAGTGTATTTCGCTGATGTTGAATTTTTTCTTCTACAGGAGGCAAAGGGAGATTTTTCTAGGTGAGTTTACAATTTTTTGTTGTTGTTGTTTAAAATGTAAACCCTTGCTTCTCTATTAAAAGAAACTATTCAGGATGTCCTTTTCAGGTGGACAATTTATTCATGTTGTATGTTAATGATGAGATCTAACTCTCAACTTGTCCATTGAAACAGATAGATCAGGTAGAGAAAACATAGTAATAGCAAGGATGATGTTCTCCACTACATGCAAAGCCCGGAGATTACTGGAAAGCTGACATTAGGGCCCGGCGTCACACATGCCCATTGTCCTGAGGTTGGACGGGCTGCTCAGATGTCTCATAGAGACTGGAATCACCATTGTGGTGTAAATATGGTTGCAGATAACTCGTCAGTCCTGACAAGTAGGTGGACATCTTTTTTTCTCTCAATGTAGTCCCTGCCCCTCAAGGGATAACATGCTGTCTTCTAGGGAAATTTCATTCGTGAAAGTGTTACAACATAAAAATACCGCACCTCTGCTTTGGTTCTGTCTTAGGATATTGTGTTGGAGAAAACATAAACAGACAACTACTGGGAATCTGTGAATGGCATTAATCGCCTTGTAAAACTGCAAACTCGTCATTTATTTCAATCCTCACTGTGTGTTGATCAGTATGGCTGAAATTGCCCTGAAATCTCTCGTGATCATCACCAGACCTGGAACAG